CAGACTTCCATGCTCCAGCAGGCAGTTTTCTGGACACTATCTACGCCCAGTACACGAGTGATTCACCACTCCTGGGTTTTGAACCTCTGCAGACCTTTATTAGCAGGGGTCTGTATAACATCACCTTCCGTCTGAATCAATAATGTGTCATACAAGTACATGTACACTCTATATTTCTGGGAAATGTGGATGCTGGTGTGACTTATCATAAGACAAACTGACTTAAAAGCATTACTGAAATCATAGCAGCTTTTTTTGTAATATGTAATAAGAAGGTACTAAACATATAGCCAAGCATTTTGTTCCAAGTTCAATCATTTTTAGACCTTAAAAAGGGGAGCTCTTCTTAGAAAAAGCAGACCCGCACCTGTATCACATAATTCACAGAGTTCAACATTCTGGCTGAAAGAGAAAAGGCAACAGGCGGGCTCCATCCCTGTGGATACCGGTGGAAGTGCGATTTGGCAACAACACGGCAAACTTCTGTGAGAAGGCTTAGCGCTGACAGCCCGCCATCCCTCTGCCTCTGGCAGGTCAGAGCTGCAAAATGCCCTTTGCATCAGACAAGGGCTCTGTGGGGAGCCCGGAAATGATCTCCAACTGGACACTGTTCACTCGCGACAGTCTGTGGAACAGCCGGCGTGACTCAAGCTAAAATTCCCCCAACAAAATAGGCATGTGTGATAGGTTACCCAGACCTGCCGGCATCACAGGGGAGAACGGGGCTCATTTAAACAGCTCTCAGGAAGCCGTCCTCCTCTTTGCCTCCCCCACGTGGTGGCAAGGTAATTTAAGTGCTGGGCTGTTAACTGAAAGGGCCCAACCGACCAGATGTTCCAAAGTGGCCCCACCAAAAGAAGTGCAGTCTGGACCCCACAGGCAGTTCTACTGTGAGTTGGCAGTGTTCCCACGGCGGTGGGCCTGCTTTGGGTTTGCTTTCCCAGGCCCGCAAAGCCCACTCGGCTGGTTGGCTCCTGTAAGCAAGACTCATTTCTCTACAAAGAGGCTTTCCCCCAAGCTCCAACCAGCTCATCACCAGACCGCTCCTCCTCCTCTTAAAATCTGCCTCCCTTCCCAGATGGCAGAGGCCTGCCTAGCTCAGCTCTAGCAACCGACTTCCCAGTGCTGCCCTCCGGATTCCATTTTCTCTGGAGACTGAGACATTTGCTCTGGGTTTCAGGGAATGAGAAAGTGAAGCACGCACAATAAGGTCATGAGAGAGGTCAACCTCGTACCATTATGTATCAAGAACATCTTAGAAGCTCAACAGTAATGTATTTGAGCCCAACTATTTATAATACAGATGAACACCCTTTCCTTACAGCCCTTTATTCTTGATGCCTGGAAATAGCTGGCTGGACTTTTACCTCCTGTGCATTCCTTGGTCACAGATCACAAAGCAGGGCGCCTGCCCACGCCAACGGAACAGAAAACTCAGGAGGTGCACACAAGTTCAGTGGCAGCATCAGACTGTGCGGTTCCAGGCCTCTGCTGTCCTTCTGCTCACGAGTCTACCTCAGTACCACCCCAGCTTTGCTTCTTCCGATCTGCTGTGTGTGTGTGTGTGTGTATGTAATATGAAGGGCTTCAAAAAGTTCATTGAAAAATTGAATTAAAATACAATGAAAATTTTCTATGGACTTTTGGAAGCTCCCTCATGTATATAAATAAAATGTATGTGTGTCGGTGTGTGTCTAATATGGAGAAAGATATGAATTTTCCCCCCATTAGAAGAGATTTGTTTAGGACAAAAACAAGTTCTTTCAAAAAAACCTCCCTTCTAAAACTTTGAGAACCAATTATTTTAACAAAAACCTACAAAAGCATTGCCCAATTCTTGGACAAGAAATATTGACAATTAAAATTAAAAAGGTAAGCAAGCTTTTGGAGAAAGAGGAGACTTTCTATTCCCATCAAGCCTTGGTCTCAGAAGCCCACAGGGGCAGTTCTACTTTAGGGCCTTACAGCACAGGTGAGTCCGAAACAACGTGATGGGGGAGAGAAGCCAGCCACTTAATTCACAGCCCTCCTTGAATTCGTTTTTCTTTTTATAAACTCAAATAAGAATGGGAGGAAAAGGATCAAGGAGCTATACGCAATAGGAGCAAGTCGCATTCTGGATGCTCTAGATCAGGGGTCCTCAAACTGCGGCCCGCCAGGTGTTTTTGCCCATATGTTTTTTTACTTCAAAATAAGATGTGCAGTGTGCATAGCAATTTGTTCATAGTTTTTTTTTAAAGCTATAGTCCGGCCCTCCAATGGGTCTGAGGGACAGTGAACTGGCCCCGTTTAAAAAGTTTGAGGACCCTTGCTCTAGATTTTCCAGAGAATTGAAAACTTGGAGGGAAATTTTCTACTTACTGTCAGGATTATTACCTCAGCCTGTAAATTTAGTAGTTCAGAAATTTAAAAAATGTCAGAGTTATCACCCAAATGTTTACCATTCTGACCACCCCCTCCCCCCCCAGACCTCCCAATTCTGTCCAGACAGAACTGACCCTCATTAAAAAGGGTTAGATTAGCCCAGCTGGCAACTACCTGAGAAGCCACAGCACTGGGAGGCCAGCAAGGCATCTACACAGGTAAGCTCTCAACCTCCAAGCCTGCTGATGTCCAGGAAGTCTTTGCTGGCTATGTGCTAACCAAATAGCTTCCGCCCCTTGAGGAAAAGCAAGAAGACAAAAAAGATAAAGCCATTCAAGAGTAAGAAAACCACCAGCTCTGCTGTAAGGCATGACATTTAACATGAACGTAAGGGCTTTAAAGTCCACACTAAGGGTTCAGAATCTAAACCACAACAGATTGCTCTTGCATGATGAGGGAGAGCTGCGTCACCTCACCCCTGACTGTAAAGTTTCCAGATGACTGAGCTTCGAACCTTCCAGCTATTTAAAAAGGAGAGCACCTGAAAAGGTCAGGGCACTCTATCCAAGCAAAGGTTTAAATATTGAAGAGCAAGTCCTTCTTAGAAAGAGTGTCTTGATCCCAGCCATACTCTGTTGTTAGCCTCATGACTTACAATGTTTCTTCTCAGAAGCGCAGTGACATCTCAGGTTTCTACCTCCATTTCAGCAAGGAGGGGGAAATGGACATGATGCAGCAGAATGACCCTCAGCTCACAGAGATTTCTGTGTTCAACCCTAGTACTGAGATCTCGAAGCCAAGTCTGATATTTCTCAGAGGCACGCTGTGCACTTGGCAAGGTGAAGGGCGCGGGTCTGGGCAACAGCAAAAAATGAGCCTCCTGTCCTCTAACTAGCCCAGCAAAGAGAGTGAAGACTATTTCCGGTCTGAGGCGGTTTGCTAATTCTGGGCCTTAGAAAGCAAAACCCTAGCCAGCACTTTGTTTCCACCCTAGTGAAAGGACCCAGATCCTTTCTTGCTCTCTCAAAACTAAAAAAAATACCCCAAACTCACTCAAAGCTGACTCACAGTGCCCCATGGGTCGGGGAAACACCGCCCTGAGGGTTTTGAGACGACAACTCTTCACAGGAGTAGAAAGCCCCTCTTTCTCCCAAGGGGCGGCTGGTGCTTTCAAACTGCTGACCTTGTGTTCAGAAAGGCACTTGGCCATCAGGGCTCCTTCTCACACCCCAAATAAAATTCAGTGGCCTGTTCTGACATCTCCAGACAATGGCACACAGACAAAATTTCCCAGGATAACATGATTTAAAAAAAAACAAAACCATGGTCAGTAGGTCACATTCCTCAAAGGAACAATCTGTCCAAAGGTATGATATGAGCAGTTTATGAGAAGCCATCTTTTATGCCCTCTAGACTCAACGTGAACATATCTTCTGGTCCCAGGCTTCTTCCACGCTTACTTCCCGCCCCACTCCTCCAACCTCTACGTGAGTCAGTGTCTGATGGGCAACCGAAACTGAAAGGAGCCTCTCGGCCAAGAAACATACTCCCTAGTGAGTGGCCCTGTGGATTCTGATCATCCCACATCCTGCAGGGCTGATGAGGCCACCCAGGGCTGTGTGCTCACTAGGGCCCTTGTAGGCGAGCTAGCAGCTGTTGAATGCCGCACCATTCCTTCTGACAACCGAGTTCCAACAGTATTCCTGGCCTTAGTTTACTCAGCTGTCCACACTGAAGTGCTCCGAAGAGCCATGCACACGCTGTGCATGACACTGTGTGGCTGAAATACCACACGCCCCCTCCCCTAGGCCGAGTTGTTTGGGGCATGATGACCCTCACCAGTTTGACTCCAAGTGCAGTCAGAAGTAAGGAGAAGAGGGAGGTTTCAGAGATGAAAAATGAATTAAAAAAATTAAGATGAGGTGACATAATAAATTCTCTGATTCCTGAAGACCAATAAATTATCAAAAGCCATAAACTATCTGTGAAAGTGGTAAAGAAGTAATCCTATTTCTGTGAGGGAAATTATTTTAAGGTCCACAGGACAGACAAAAGTATGGGGTCATTAAAAAAACACACACACACCTCAGAATATTTCAAACACCTGTCCCACTGTGCCTGCATCTTGCCCAACTCCTTCCAAAACAAGGGCACAGAATCAGGTTCCCACTACCTAAGACCTTTAAGACATGTTACACTGGTCTTTGGAGAAACTCTATCTCCTGAAATACCCCTTAAAAATTAAAATGTGCAAACCAAAGCGTACAACGATAAATCACTTTCTCCTTCCCATGTGTTCTTTGATTTGCTCTGTGAAGACCAGGATGAAACACAATTGTAAGTCTCAGAGTCCTGAATTAATCTGACTTCATCTCATTCCTAACGTGGCCGAGAAGTGCTGCTTCTCTACAATTAAGACAAAAGCAGAGCTTCTGGGCTCTGATTCCACTGTCCTTCCTGCACTACACCAATGCTAGGTGGACAGACAGAGGAGGCTGACACCTCCCTAACGAGGCAGCCTGACAGAAGGCAGGGCCTTAACTAGACTCGTAAGAACTGATTCTATTCTTCAGGGAATAGGCAGGCCCACATAATTAAGTGTCACACTTACAAAAGTATCACTCTGAATTCAGGAATAAGAGCCATTCGGTTGTATATACAATTCCATCTGCAGATTTGAATTTGGAGAGGAAAACCACTCATTGTGTTAATAGTGATGAGTTAGAGTTTCTCAAGAGATTCCTAAGTCGCCTATTATGTTTAGTTGAAGACAATGTACAGCGGTGGCCTGGCTCGGGCGTGGTCTTGAGCTTCAGAAAGTCCATCGGTCATGGAGCTGGCTGTCACTGCTAAATCTGCTGCTTGCAGAGGCCTCCGAGCTCTGGGTCTGCCGAGTGGAGTCCTCGCCGTTCAAGCTCTTCCTGCACACAGGACATGTGTCATGCTGAAACACAAAGACACCCGCTCCCGTCAACACCGTCCTCAGAGAGGGCGCGTCAAAGACGAAGGCTCAGCAACCAGGAAAGGGAAGAGGGCACCTCCTGATGCGATGCACACGGGGCTTCCGGATCAGGACCCCTCTGGGCTAGAACTTGGAAGTTCTAGGTCAGCAACCTAATTACGGCTAACATAACTGCCCACCACCTGCCATACGGTCTAGAGCCAGCCAAGGTCCACAAACTTCTCTGTAAAGGGACAGAGAGTAAATGTCTTCTGCTTCGTGGGCAACAGTGACACTTGGCGGTCATCCTGATGTACTAACACAAAACGAGCCATAGACAGCCTGTGAAGAAATGAGGGGCCTTAGGAAGCACAAACGGATCCCGCGTGCCTCTAACAAGAAGGTTGGTGGTAGGAATGCCCTCGTTGTGGCTGCGGAGGAAAAGCTTGGAGATCTGCTCCCATAAAGCTGAGAGCCAAGAAAACTGTGCAGCTCGGTCCTGCCCCGAACCCAGGGGGCTGCCCTGAGGGGAAGCTGCTCGATGACAACTTTGGTCTAGTAAGCGTTCAATAAAACAAATTAAAGTGATGCACTTGGGCGGTGGGCTGTACTTGCCAACATCTGGTCTAGACACTGAGAAGAGTCAGATACTAGTCTTAAAAAAAATGGTGGTACCAGTTGCCCCACGACCTGCCTTATGGGCTAGAGCTGGGGGCAGCAAACCGTTCCTGTAAAGGGACAAACAGGGAGTAAATAGTTTCCATTTTGCAGGCATCTGTGTTCTTACTGCAGTTATGCCAATGTAGCACAAATTATGCCAGAGTTAGCCAGGAGTTTACAGAGCGGAAGCCCGAGGAGTTTGGCTCTCTGTGACCTGCTAGTTGTACCTTCACTCTGACCCACACCCTCAGATGATGTGACTCACCGCGATGGCCCCTCACAAATGGAAGCTGGCCACTCACCAGTTCTAACCACGGCACAATACAGCTGCTATGGAAGAAGTGGTTGCAGGGTAACTGCCGGACTTGCTCTTCTACTGTGTAATCTTCTTTGCACACTGGACACTCCAGACCCATATCTGTTGGAGGACAAAATGCCTTTTGGAATAAACAAGGAAACACACACACACACACACACACACACACACAAGTCTAACAGCCCAACAACCATATAAAAACAGAAGGTAAAAACAAATCTGTATCACACACACACACACACACAAGTCTAACAGCCCAACAACCATATAAAAACAGAAGGTAAAAACAAATCTGTATCCAGGTGTGTGTGGGTGGAGTGGGCTGGCCAAGATGACTAAACAAAATGCATGAGTTTTAGTTCACAATGGAGGTGGGGAAGTGGCAGGCAGGGGTCTGAAAAGGAGGAATGGTGAATGAGGCCTCCACAGGAATGATAAATGGCCTACTTCCCCATTTTAAAAGTTGGAAGGAATAAATCGGAACTTACATTACCTTTTAAGTAAACCAAGAAAGATGTTTTCTAGCCTCTGACAGCCAGTTTCCATTTGGAAAACAGTGACAGGCAGTCAATCAAACCAAAGGACTCATTTCAGAGTCTCAAACCACTTTCACCCTCCTCTTTTCCAAATGACCCCTTCCTTCTCTTTCAGAATGGCTGCCGTTCTGTACACGGTGTTCATCAACGCTGTACCAGGAGGTGGTGCTGCAGAGCTGACTGCAAAGCCCAGGTTCCAGGTCTACAAACAGGAAGCCACCTCCTTCGAGAGGAAATGGCCACATACTACATTGCGATGTCAAGCAACAAGTTCTGAGTTTCTCAAGTTTGGCTAATACTATCTGCTAGCCTGTCGTCCCCTCTGGCTGAAGTGGCTTCATCCTCACAGCGCTCCCAGCATTTGGAGAACGAGCACTATCGCTTCATTCGATCCACTCCTTCCAATCCAGTCCCACTGACCTCTATCTATCTCCTTCAAGCTTGCCTTCTCAGACCCAGTCTTCTGCAAACAGCCTCCCAGCTGGGCTCCCTGTCTCCAGGCCTTCAGCCCTCCAGATATACACTACGCTTTGTTGCGGTTGTGAGGTGCCGACTCACACTGACCCCATGTACAACAGACCAGACACTGCCCACCCTGTGCGGTACGCACAGCTGTTGCAGTTTTGAGGCCATCTGTTTGAGCAGCCATTGTGTCCATCCATTTGTCGAAGATCTTCCTCTTTTTCACTGCCCC